AATTTATATAAACTTTTTATTGTTTTGCATAAAAATTTTGAGTTTAATATTGGGTAAAAAAGTGTTCAGAAACTTTTAGTGGGGGTCTATAGATTTAGCTTAATTATAAATAATTCTAACTTTTTAATAACTTCTTTTCAATCACTTTTATCATTTATTTACTTCTTCTTTAATTGTAAAATTAGTCATAATTTTTACAATAATTATTGTTACTTTTCCTTTTTATGTAATCATTAAAACTGATTCTCAAATAATTATTTAATAATTTAAATAGATTCAAACTACTTTAAATATTTTACTATCAATATACTTCTTATTGAAAATTAATAAATTTTATTTATGATCTTATTTATTTAATATCATCAGCATTTACAATCTTAATATTTATTTGTACAAAATTAAAGTACATTCAAAATACCTATTTAATAATAAAATTAATTATTTAGCTAAGAATTACTATAATATTATTAACTTTTCTTTGACTTCTAATATTTAAATCAATTCTTTTATTAATATAAAGATATGCTGATTGCTATTTCTATTTATTTGCTAATTAAAAATATCATAAGATCTAATATATTTGTTAGATTTAAACAATTATATTTGATCAACAAATATAAAATTTTTTTATTAACTAGACAACTACTATATTTTATTTAATGATAATATTGCTAATATACATATTTTTTTACAAAGATTCTAATCTCAGAAAAAGTAATTTTAAAAATATTAGAAAGTTATTCTAATCTAGATTTATATATATTGTTAATATAATAATTATTATCTTATAATTATTTTTTCTTTTTAGTTATTATAAAAAAACTGATTTTTTAGAGTTTATTTTACTTTAATTACATGATTATAAAATATAATAATTTCACTTTAGCAATTTTATTATTTTATACATTTCATTTTAAACAAATATAGTTTATTTAAAAAATAGATATTTTCTTCAATAGAATTTAAAAGACTTATGAAATTACTATTTAATTCAAGAAGAACAATATTTTTTTCACAGATTACAATTTTACTCATTCTTCTCTCCTTTCAACTTTTAATACTCCTATTGATAAGATGATTTATTTTAAATTCTATTAGATAAATTTTCAGAACTATAGTAATTTAACTTTTTCTTTCTTTTATTCTACTAAAACATATATATTTAATTTAAATTAGGTTTAGATTCTGAGAAAATGCAGAGTTAATTTTAATTTAGTATATACTAGATAAAGATTTTTGTATTTTCTTAAATTTATTTATATATTATTTATGCTTTATATTAAATTTAATAATATTATGTGTAACTACTGTATGTAAAAAAAAGAACAGTTATATAACTAAAATAAGAATTTTTTAAAAAATATTAAAAAACTGTTTATAATTAAAATATTGTTATGAAAATATCTTTAATACATTAAGTAAAATTTTTTCAAATTAAATTTGCATATAAAAATCTTATTTATAAAATATTTAAAATAATTATTATTAAAATAAATTAGAAAGGTTATTATAAATAAGATATATAACAGAATGTTATAAATACATCATTAAATATTATAAAGCTTATTATATATATAAAGTATTAATTCTTTTCTTTTAAAAATAATAAATAAAATAATTATTTTTAATAATTTTTAATTAAATATTTTAAATAAAATAAAATTATAATAATAAAAAAAACAATTATTAAAATCTATTATAATTAAATGTTAAATTATAAAATATAATAATAATAATAAATATATTTTAATTATTATCTAATTTTCTTTTTTTAGAATTAATAATTATATTATTATCTATAAAATTTTTAAAATTAAATATATTAAAAAAATATTATTAAAAAAAAAATAATATATTAATAAATAATAAAATTTATAAATACCATTTAAATTTTTTCTTTTAAATTTATTCTCTACTTCTTGATATTCATTACTAATATCTAAACATTTAAATAAAAATTAGTTTAAATTTATTATATATTTATTAAATTATTAATATTATCAAAATATTACCATATAAAAAAGCATTTTTATCTGATATTATAATTTTATTATTAAAATCTAAGTAAATAAATAATAATAAGTTAATAATATTATTAAAATATTAATATTTAGATTTATTAATCATATAAATAAATCTTTTTAATTTTTTTTTAAAAAAAAAAATAATATATATTTTTAAAAAGAATTTTTAAATAATTACCTTCTTGTTCTTCTATTATTATTATTTAAAATAAATAAAATAATTATTATAAAGATAAAATAATATATTAATCATTAAAATATTTTTTATTATCTTACCTTTTGTAGCATTTCTTGGTTTAGGAAAATTATTAAAAGAATAAATTTTAGAACCATAAAGAAAATCATCAGTTTTATTTGTATTATTATTTATTTTAATTTGTAAATCAATAGTATTATTATAATTATTTTTTTGAGTTTCATTTATATTTTGATAATATAATTTACTGATTTTTTTTACTTCAACATAAAGAGTATTAATATCTGGTCGTTTTGATGGATCAGCATCCCAACATTGTTCAATTAATTTTTTATATTCGAAAGGAGTTCCTGATAATATTTTTGGTCTCATTCCGTTTACTATACATATTGCGAGATCATGATCATAATTATGTTCCTTAAAAGGAGGTTCTCCTGCCGAAATTTCCCACATAAGCATAGCAACACTGTAAATATCAGATGCTTTAGTATATTTTGATGTTTTTGCAATAACTTCCGGTGCTATAAAGGGAAGATTTCCATAAATACTATTCGATTGTATATCAGCAGGACCACTAAAACCGAAATCACTAATATACCAATTATAATTTCTTGGAGAATGTAATATATTTCCAGAATGCAAGTCTCGATGAATTGCATCAACTCTATGGATTCTATCAAGTGCATTGAGTATATCAAGGGTAATCATGATCCTTTCTTTCCAGGTAAGTAAATGATGATTTGCCATTAAATATTTTCTTAAATCGGTATCCATTAGAATAATTACAAGCATATAACCTTGATTTGGTAGGTGGGTTAGACCAAAACAACTTACTATTCGTCCCCATTTATTGCTTATCATTAAATGCGTTTTGGCCTATATATGAAATTTATAATAAAATTTTTTTCTTTTTTTCTTTTTCAAACATAATAATAATAATAATAATAATAATAGCTTTAAATTACATACCTCATCAAACCAACTCCTATTTGCACTTTCAATATTTTCCAATTTTTTAAGTATTACATCTTGCATTCCCGATCTTAATAATTTTCGTTCTTTAAAATCCCATTCCGTGTACCTTCCATCAATCCATTTGGCTGAATAAATTTCAGAGATTCCACCTTTAGTAAAAAATTCAACACCTTGTAATCGATCGTGTGGGATCCATTCTATAATCTTATATGGTGAAATGGATTCTAATTGACACTGTTGTATTAAATCATCAATGTTATCATTACCGGATTTCCAATTTGAAAATTTTGCTTTTAAATAATTTCGAACGCAATGTTCACAAAATAATGTAGCCAAACATTCTTCATGACAATTTTCACAAATTCTTTTTGTTCCATTATTATGAAGAACTTTATCATAGTCACGAGATTTATTCATGGTATTTTTTGCGTTTAATTTTTCATCTTCGGTAAGAGTTTCATCAGAATCAATAACTTTGTCCATAAAGTCATGTCGTTCGTCAATACTTTTAATATTATTATCTACTAATGCATATGCTTTGGATATTGCGATAGAAACCAATTCTTTTCGAATAGTAGCCATAATATACTGTAGCTATACAAAAAAATTCAAGTGAGAACCTTAAAATAAATCGAATCTATCGTTACAGTTTATATTTATGCCGATTTATAGCTTATTTTGAAAGTGCAGTGCATCGTAACAAATGTCGAAAATAGGCAGAAAAAAAATCATACAACATTAGTTTGTGGATTTGTTTGCTGCAACAGAACATTAACATTAATTATTGTTGATCTCTTTATGGTTACATAAATGAATAATGTAAAATAGATAAATAATTTATTTTTATAATTATAATTTCGTTTCTAAATTTTTCGCAATAAATATTTTCCGTATTCTTCTCGAGCAAGTGGATTTCCTTTATCAGCAGTTTCTTTAAATATATCTATAGCAATTTTAATTCTTTCGTTCTTACTAATTTGTTGTAATTCTTCAATATCTTCACCATGATAATAATAATAGTATCCTACCCAATACCTTGCTTCAATATTGATCATTGAATGATATTTAAAGCTATCCCAAACAATCTGTTTGTTTCCGTTCTTGGATTTATGCACACGAATTGCATCTTCCACAGAGATAATTTTAATGATTCTAAATGAAGATATCGTTTCAATCTGTTCATTTTTTACTAATAAATTTTCGTTAGATTTTGACAATCTTGAAAAATTGGTCTTTAATTCAAAAAATGTTCGGCAAATATCAGTTATATTGGGACGCCAAACAGGCTTATATTCCATAGCTAAAAATTTTTTTTTTTTTTTTTTAGAAACGGTAAATATTTTAGAAAAAGATCAAAAAATTGCTGACGCTCACCTCTAGATACTATATTTTTCCATTCATCTGGCACAAAATTTGAAATTGTTTCATGATATCCATGGTTTACACGATCTTTAATACCTTGAATTAAATTTGATGTTTCAAGATCAGAATGAGGTTTCTTCAATTCAGCGATTTCCCACAATAATGCTCCAACACTATAAAAAATTGATGAAAGATTGATAGATTAATAAAAATAACGTGTAAAAAAAAAATAAGAGAATTTTTTTTGGCGTGAATTGAAGTTATTTGCCTGTAAATTTCACATTTAGAATCATAAGAAACTTTTTTTTCGTTATCAAAAAGTTTTTCTGGAGCAAGATATTTCACAACATCTACAAAATGCGATTGATTCCCTGATGTAAGTTTTGAAAAATTTTTACTTAGACCGAAATTTGCTATTTTAGCTTTATGATCTTTATTAATTAAAATATTTGTCGAACGAATGTCATGATGAAGGATCTAGTAAAAAAAAAAAAAGAATAATTGTAATTTTATATTTTAATTGATTATTCATCGATAAAAATTTTTGATTTAATTTACCTCAATTTCATGTAAGAAAGCGACACCGCGACAAATATCCAGGGCCATTTCAATTTTAAATTCCAAATTCATAAAATTCATATTAAATCTTGTATAATATTCACTTAAATTACCGTATTCCATCCATTCAGTAACCAAATAATATTTAGAATTTTCTTTTGCTACACCAAAAAATCTTGTAATGTATATGGAATCTCTTAATCCTTTAAGAATATTAACTTGCCTTCTAATTTGAGAGTGATCAAAAGAAGAAATCTCATTAGAGATTTCACTAAAAGTATAATCAAATTTCTCATTATTTGATGTACGTTTATGAATTCGTTTGGAAGGACAGACGTTTGTTTTTTGATATTGACTTCCATCAAGTAGTGGTTCATTCACTTCAATTGAATGTAAACTTTTTAGTTTGCTTTGTTCTTGAAATTCTTTATTTTTCTTAAATACCAAATCCATTCTGTTTAAAAAATTTTTATCGTCAGGTAAACCATAAACGTGAAGCAAGATCTCTTTAATTTGACTCAGGTCATATCTTATGGTTGCAACTTCATCTCTAGTTTGTATGGTGAAAGAAAAATTTAAATTTTTCATATACCCGTCAAATTTCGTTAAAAGATCCGTAAAAGTTTCTTCAATATTATTACCGTAAAATAATCTCTTTAATTTACTTAAATGACTAATCTTTTTTATAAAGTTTTTAATATCACGTATACAAATAATAAATCCCTCAAATAAAATTTTATTTTCCTCTTTGGAGAAAAAAATTAAATTTTCCGTTTTTCTAATTTTTAAATCTTGTACCGCGGCCATGGCGCAATTACACCTTTGTAAAAGGAAACTACATAATTCTTTATGATGTTCGGCTTGTTCATATATTTCCATAATCTCTCTTCCTATTGAAATGAATGTTTTAATTAATGGGGAGAAATCTTCGAAAACTTGAGATACGTTAAATATATCTTTGATGTAATCCCTCTCGAAAACATCTTTATTAAGATCTTCGTTCATTACTTCAGGCTTTATGCAATTTGAAGATGTATCATCGGATGAATCATCCATACGTGGCATTTTTGGGTTTCTTTCCGTAAATTGAACGTCTTCATTATTACGTTTGTTATCCTTTTGAAACACTTCTTTCATTATTAAAGATTTCATTGAAAAATGTAAGAATGGTTATAGATGATATAATTAATAAAAGCCAATTTTGTCAATTTTGTCTTTGATTTATAATAAAAGCTGGTCCAAAATATTTACGTTATGATTACAGCAAATTGCTTTGATTCGTTACAATTATTACAAAGTTTGATTTTTTAGGCATGCAGTACCTCAAGCCCATTTTCCTAATACAAAAAAAAGAATGGTTACTTAAAATCAAAAAGACTTAAATAAAGAAGTTATCGGACTATGATTGCCGGTTGATAATTATTGTCACGTGAATTTTATTCTCTACACTTTAATTTATTTAACCTCTTTATAAATAAATCTTAATTTTGTTAAAAATCCTTAACATGATTTTTCTAAAAGTTGTAATTATGAAACGGTAAGGTTGTCTTGTATTGTTTTTTTTTACCTCATTTGCCAATAGGTCCGAAATTACTTAATTTCGAAGGAGTGATATAGATAGACAAAAATTCTGTAGATATTGGATGGGATTATTTATTTCAAAAATCAAAATATCTTGATTTTTCGAGATCAGTTATCTCATTTTTGTTTGCATTATGACTGACATATACACTGTTTTTTATTTATTAGCTTCATCCAGCAATAAAAGTAAAAGAAAATGCGAGAATCATACACTCCCGTGCAAAAAGTTTAGGACCACACGATAAATTGTAAAACAAATGGTTTTTCTAAATAACAACATTTTATTAAGCTATAAAAAGCTAATTTTTTAATATTATTTGTAAGCAACAAATAAAACATCGGAATTTAATAAGCATCATTTTGCTGATCATTATTAATCATATTTAAGGCACGTGACTTTTCGTGAATAAAAAAAATAATTCGTATAATTATATTTATTTAAATCATAATTATTAAAAAGCATTTAATT